GAGGCCAAGACAGCCGAAAGGTCACAGCCATGGATTTGACAAAAGGACATTTCAGGACACTGTGTGGAAACAGAACAGAAGCTTTGGCAGGGAAAACCCTTTGTTGGCTTTTTCGTTGCCAACTGCAATCTTAAAACCTCTGAGGTAGCTTGAAATTATCCCAACTATGCACAGTGCAGGCCACAACTACCGACTCATTGCTGTTGCCACAGCACCACTCCACTGTCCTTCTTGAAAAATAAAAAAAGAGGTTGATGCTACGTCCTCCATCTCTGCTTCTCTGTGGGAATTGGACGTTTTTTTCTTTATCAGCAGCATTTCAGATAAACATCTGGCCTGCTGGCGGGAGGAGGATAAAGGATAAAGACATCAACAGTGGCAGAGGGGCCAAGAGAGGCCAAAGGGGGCCCATGCGGGGCCTTGAAGGGCCATTACCAGGCTACAGAAGAAGCCATTTTCCTGGGATTCAGAGCCAACAGGGAACCAAGGTGGCTATAGGAGAAAGAAGTGTTTTTTTTAAATGGTCCACTTAAAGAAACAGAAATGGTATAAAAAGCTAATAAAAAAACCTTTATGTACTCAAATTTCAAGTAACATGTCAAGAAAGTAAAATTAACAAACAGTGCGATTTTTAAGTTACACAATCTTCCACAATAAAAGAGCTGTTGCTTGTAAAAGGAAACTTATTAGGAGTTTTGGGCTTCGATGGTACATTGAGAGTCAAAAACAAACGTAATATCTGAGCATTAATGGAATAAAACTGAAATCTATTTTGAGTTGCGTTTCATTTTCTCACCAAGATTATAACAGTGCTTGTTGGTGACTCACAGATGACTCACTGTGACCTTTCACAACCTTATATAGCTGAGTGTAAAATTAATGTTCTCCTATGCTGTGTCCTCAATGGTGTTTGGAGCAACAACATATCCTGAAAGAGGTGACACTTATCTGTAAAAAAACACATACAAGTTAGTGCAAGTGACAAAGTGGGTTGGTGTTTCAGAGTTGAGTGAGACCCAAGGTGCGGCAGCCAAAAAGAACCAAAACAAAGTAAGGCATAATGTGGTGAAATCCCTGCACCAAATTGTAAATGATGTACAGTACTTGTCATCAGGGAATAACAACCAGCAGTTGCTTCAATTGGCAAACCCCTGCATTTCCCACACTAACAAAAATTAACAAGATGGATTGCCAGCAAGCCTCCCACACAGGAGAGTTTGCCTAATAGCTAACAAAGGCAAATAAAATGTGAACAATTTCAACATGTGGAGGCTGTGAAAGAACGGACTTCTACCAAAATGGATCACAGACACTGTACTGCATATCCCAAAGGTAGGACACAAAGAAAGGCCAAACAACCTGCCTCCCCACCCCCAACTCTACTCCTGTGTTTGACATAGCGCACGAGGGTGTGTGAAGAATCTCTAGTTCATTCTTCCAGTTGGGCGTATCCATAAAGCCTCTGTGCTTTGAAGACAATCAGAATATATACACAAGAGCAAACTGACCTGAGGGTAAATTGGCCCCTGGTTGAAACACAGCCTTGATTGTAAGGCTGAAATTAAGTGAGAATCAGGAAACTGCTGGCAAGCTTGTTTTCACCAAGGTGCCATTGTTTACAAAACCCAGACTCATTTATCATGATGGTGTGAGATAGTGAGTGTCAAGGGGCCTCCAATATGTCTTGCTCCCATGACCCATCAGCATATAAGGGATCACTCTGATGCCATACACTGATATAGATACATTTATAACTACAGCCATGAAAGTACTCACCAAAGAGGTTTGATGTTGCATTATGGAAAGCAATAACAAAGCTTTGGAAAACGTTGGTCTTACTTTAAGTTGTAAAGCTTCAGTGGCTTATGCACCCCATTTACAAGACCGTTTGAACATGAACTGAATACACTTGTGTTGATGGAAAACTTTCCAAATTCAAACAGCCTTTTCAAATTATTCTGCAAAAGATTAACTAAATATTTACAGGTTTATTTGTATTTACATGAATTAAAACAGATTTAAAATATTAAAGCTGTCCTTACAAATGTTTTATTATAGAGCCAAGGTGCATGTAACTAGATGCACAAGGATGTGCATCATTGCTTCCCAGAGACTAAACCTTTTTCAAGTCTTACTCAGCCGAGAGGCCTGTGAAGTCACTCACATTCCTGCATTGATCAAACCCACTAGTTAGACATGAAAGCAAGACACACAGAGTACACGCTGATTAGACTCTCTAAAAAGTTTCTACATCTGGAAAGACCAAAAACAGCCTCTCAAAATATGTGAGACATTTCCCTTGGATTAAACTCCAAGACAGGGTTTATGTTCAGCTCAAGGTCTGAGACTGTGTTAGACCATAAATTGTAGAAGTGGTTGCTGAAAAAAAGAAATCTGTACTGAATCAGCAAACTTCAGAGGAACTGTCTATTCAAGCCTTCAACAGCACATCTGATTGTCCTCATGTTAAAAAAAACGTGTACACTGACATTGAGCATGTCATCAGGATATCACTGAACTGCAAACATCTTGCTGCAATTTAAATCATTTAGAGTAGAGTTGGCTGTAAAAACTTCACTGTGATACCAGATAGGGATGAAATACAGAGTCCCTAAAGATTTAAACAAGTTTAGCAACCTACACATGCAGAATACATATAGAATGATAAACTCCCTCCCATGATGCTTTCTTTTGCAAATCAATTAGAAAATCACTGTCCTTTAGTGGTTTTAATTTAATAGACAACGTTATCTACATGCTGTGATTTCTCAACATGAAGGAGGTGGGATGAGCACAAACCGCTAAACCACATCATCTTTTCCATATGTCTGCATGCCTTCAGAGCAAATGTAACCCTACTAAAATCACAGTGCGGCTGATTCTCATTGTGATTCATTGCTTGGATAAGGTTGACTAAACTTCCTTCTCACATCCAGGAGAAAAAGTCCAGCAGTGTCTAATGACTCTAGCATTTACCATCCCATCCTAGATGATTATTCAAAAAGCAGAAAGGAGGAAGACGGCTGCCGTCTGATAATTATTTATAGTTTTTTTTATAAACTAGAACTAAATCCTGGATGATACAAATTACCTCATTGCATCTCAGTTTAAGAAGGTAAATAAAAAGTAACAGAAATAATTCATAAACCTGTACAGTACCTATCCGCCATTGACTGTAAAGTTCATTATGAATCTCCAGTGTTTAACATCCCTGTTAAAATTCTCTTCTTGCCATATGTGCTCATCTGGACTATATATTCATGGCAGCTGGAAGTGACAGCTCGTCCAACTTTCCATAAATCTTGGAGATACTGCACAAGAGCTGAATGAAAACCATATGCATACGAATTTGAGGAGAGAGCAGGAAGAAGTGAGCAAGAGACAGAGAGGGGAACAGGGGGACCAAGAGACAGAAAGAGAGAGGGGGGGGGGGGGGGGGGGCGAGGAGGCCAACCTACAACTGGAACAGATAAATCAGACAGCGGAAAAGTAAAGTGATCTAAGAGGTTTTATACAATAAACAAAACCATATGTGCAGATGTATGTGGGACTGTGTGTGCATGCGTGAAGGGACTCCGCATCACGGGGTGTCTCCACCACCGAGAAAATGCTCTCTGCTCACAGATCAGTGTATGCCTCTTTATATTGGTGTGTCACCAATGATTGGGGGTGACGGCCTCTTCTCTTTCAACTCTAAATTAGCTGTTTTGGTTAGTGAACCAGACTTGCAGATCAAAAAGGTCAGACATGCCCATTTAATCCTGGTAAATCTCCCCCTTCACATCTCGCCAGCCTGTCAGCTTCTGTGTGACAGCAACCATCACAGACACATGCCTTTGCTCTGTGCGCCTCCGTGAATCTCCCCCACCCTCGCTCACAGCAGTTGTAGTTTTTCTTTCAGGACTGACATTTATGTGTCCCAGAGAAGTCATTGTCAACAGTGAAATAGTGTCATCTTTCCAAAAATCGTGGATGTAGTGCTGGTCAGGGAGAGACACTTGATCTGATCGTATACTTTTAAGAATGCTAAATACAGCCACTGATGATCAGCTCGCGACTGGACTCGTCAGCAGCAGGGGTTTTAAGGTCACTTGGGAGTTTGGACGTCTACATCTGAGGAGCAGCAGCTGTCTTGACCTCTGTGAAACTCAAGCTGAGATGGAAAAATATGAATTTAACTACTAGTAAGTTCTACTTAAGTTTGTGTACAAGTGACAGTGTATGCTCCAGGCAGGTTAGGATTTCAGGATGTTTTTCTTCAAGCTTCAGATTTGGACCCACATTCTTCCCTAGAGGCAACCATTTAGCTTGACCCAAGAGGCCATTGTCGTTACCTTATTTGTCAGCCTTGATGGGATAAAGATTTATTGCTGATTTCTTAGATAACCAAAATAAAGAAATCATACAAGGTGTCAAGGAAAAGCTCATATACTCCTACCTATCACACTTTTTGGGGGGCTATAGACCTCACCCCTATGGACATGACTTAGGCTTAGGGTTTTTGGTGATGTGAAACGTTTATACACCATTCAGATTTTCGAGTCTCAATTAGGTGAAATTGTTTCATGAATCAAATGAAAACAGTGCTTCCCAAAGTGAATGACCACATACCATTCTTGAGGTCTTGAGGAGTTCCCCAAGTCCCCAAAAAACGGGTCATGTCATCTTGGAGTTTGCTTTATTTTAAGGATGATCAAGAATGGCTCTAACAATGAACTTCCTATAAGTGACTTAGAAGTATAACTTCCCTATTTCGTTTTTTGATAGAAAATGTAAAGCTCAAGAAGCACTAATGTGTCCCATACTTCATTTGGGTTAATAAGAATTGGGCTCAGTTTGAATAAGTTCTGGGTCTATCAAGGACAGTTTAACAGTCATTGAAGACTTTTAAATAACTTATTTAAACCCTCTGATCACCGGGGTCCCACAAATAATATAGAACACGTCCCATCAAGGCACAACAGCGTTTATTTTGAGTTGTAAACAGGACCACCTCTCACCTGTTTGAAGTCCGCCACAAAAGTGATGAGTGCCCCGTCTCCCTGCTTGAATTCGACTGATATTAAATCTCTCTCAATGTCCGCCTCCAAAACCTCCTCGGTCACCAGCCCGTCAGCGAGCCGGACCCGGACCCTCAGCTCGGAGCACAGTCCCACCGCCACCAGCAGCACCAGGGCGCAGACCCGGGTCAGTATCCGAACTGAAGCCACAGAGACGCAACTCGCAAACATACCCAAAATGCGCAAAACTGAACACGACAGATGAAAAAACCGCGGCGAAATCCAAAGATCTGCGTTCATATCCCCTAACTATTTTCTTTGATTTTTATTTAAAGTCGTTTCTTTCATTTTCAAACTATAGATCGCATGTCGCACTTCCATATGGTCCGCTGTGTGCAAGTTATTTCCAGTATCACAAGTACGCTCATGAAAATGGGACGACTAGGTTCTTAACTAAAATCTCTGCTTCTCACTTCTGGGATCCCAGATCACTTCCATTGAAAGTCTCTCGCTCCAGCGTTGTTGATAAGATCATGCGCATTTCAGTTTGCTCTCCGTACTACAGCCGATGATCGCACACGTTGCTTCTCTTTCGGCTTTGTGTTGATATTCCCGTCACCGCTTTTTCCTACTTCTGCAATTCATGCAGTCCCGTCACTTCCTATCCGTCGGTATCCCACTGCTCGCTTGGCCTCCAAACTTTCTGTTGTGTGAGAGAGTGAGCGCAGGGATGGTAGTAAACTCTTAAAGCCATACCACCCTCTGAAAACTTTGCCCATCCCCCTAAGGCCTCATGTGATCCTCCTGCTCTCCAGCAAGCAGGCTTAACTAATAACACCCCCAACAATTATAACAAAGGTGTTGTTGGGATTTGTAAATCATAGCTCTGTGGATGTTGTTCTTGTCATGTAGGGATAAATAAAAGGCTGGGCAAACTACCTGCTGCTCATTGTAAACAAACAATAGTAGCTTAAACATTTTATTATAAAATATTTGTAGGGTATACCATTTTTTAAGTTCACAAACCCTTTTCATATCAATATAAATATGATAAATGCAAACAATGTTCAATAGGTCGTTTTACGGAGGAAAACTTTGATTAAACACATCTTTGTTGCATATCATATATTGTGGTTATTTGCATCACAGATGTGTGAATTTGAGGCGGTACTACAGTTTACCATCTTCAGGATTGATTATCTTAATTTCAATAGAATAATAACAAGTTTGAGAACAAAAGTTGAATATAAATAAAGAAATTGTCTTTGACCTCAATCTCTCTATGACTTTGGTTGCGACACCCTCTGAAATAAATCTGTCAGGTAATAATTATCCCCTTTCATGACAACATAAGATTGATTCACAGGTTACAGCCTCAAGAAAGAAACAGTCACGCCTTAATTCTCCTCAAATTTTATTTAGTTTTATGGTATCTGCAAGGGAAAGTTTGACAAACCTGAGGTGTGAGTTGGCAAACAGAGAAAAGATGCCTATCTGAAGGTAGAGCCACATCAAATGGTTAATTACCATTGTGTTTGTGTTGCAAAAAGGTAAGGTGACATCCCTGCAATAAACCACCTGAACAGTTGTGTTATCTCTGACGCACTGCATTCTGGGTGGGCCGAGACCTGGGCGGGTGACCCCAAATGTGGCAGGACTTGAGTGCTGCTCAGACCAAGAGGTGGTCGCTCCAGTGAAGGGGAAAGCAAACAGAGAGGCTGTAAAGCCGAACAAACATTGTTAGCCAGGCCTGGCAAACCAAACGGGGGCCCTGATAGACTGAAGGATGTCAGGCAAACACACCCCATTGTGATAGAGTTTAGTCTCAGGCTACATCTTAGTTAAATCATTTAAATAGCTGCTGTTTTAGGTGCTGTGATGCACGTCGTCATCAATCACTGTCATCATATCGTGTACATGTACAATCACTTCTTTGTTATGATCATGTGGAACAAAAATTTGGAGGATTCATTTAAAAACCATGTGTTTGCTTGATGCACTTGCTTCACTCTGGATATTATGCTGTATCCTCCCACGCAGGAGTCCAAAGTGCAGCAGCTCTGTGAGGCTGTGACACACGCAGATAGCAAAGACAGACACAAGCTACAGTGTACAGAGAGTGTTTATGATTAGCAATAGTGTTGTCCCACTTTAATTACGAACACAATGAGCAGTGTACAGTAAACCGCGTCAGTGCATTTCCTCACTGGACTTTTATAAAACAGCATGCGAGAGATGAGAACAATCTGTGTTTTGGTTTTGTTAAGAGGAAGCGGAAATGAAAATCAAACAAACAGCATATGCCTTATATCTGTATGACATCTAGTATTAAGTGTTGATTCAATATAATTTGAATGTCATCATTTCCCTTTCATCTTAAACATGATTTCCTCAATTTCGCAATACCCTGGAATATTCTCATGAGGTTCCAGGTGAAATGCAGAGAAGCTGTTTGCATTCCTAAAGGCAAAACCTGTGAAATAGACACCACAGTCCTGTCTGGTCAGACTCTTGTGTTTTTGCTTTTTCACTCTCACACAGCTGCAGACATGTCTACATTGAACACATCCTCCTGAAGTTGTGAAATATTGAAACCAATGTATACCTTTTAGTATTTTAAAGGACTGCTTTGGTTCCATACACGACTGTCAAAAGTAAGAGGTTTTACGTCTGTTTTGACATCATTTATTTCTTTTATCAGGACATTGATTGTGGCTCCATTCTTTTACAACATTAGTCTTAGTAAAAATCACAGATTAATCAAAAATAAATATAGTAAAGAATACCAACATCAGATAATCTATCATTTAAGGAATATACCATTCTTATTAATCTTGAAAGCAGCATCAAATAAGAATATATTTAAAAACAAAAATGTTTTGTCCAGTTCTTGATTCGTATCAATCCTCACATATGCACACACACACACACACACACACACACACACACACACACACACACACACACACACACACACACACACACACACACACACACACACACACACACACACACACACACACACACCACACACACACACACACACACACACACACACACACACACACACACACACACACACAGTGATGTGTTTCCACCGCTGATGAGGGACATGTGTGCCTGTTTGTGCGATACTCGGCTTTGAGAACAGCCAGGGTGCTATGCATTCCAGTTGTGTGTGTTTTTATGTGTGTACATGTGCATTGTCTTGCACAAAGTTAGCTTAAAGTGGTTGCGTTTGACATGGGACTCGTGCCACCCAGCTACAGCTTTTCAATTTTTGCCATTGAACTGAACCAAAATCCTCTGCCTCTCATCAGGTTTGTCATGTTTTGAAAAAATGCAGTAGCACAGATTAACAGCATATTCCCAAACTGGATTTCTTTGCTTTCACAGGGACTGGAAACTCCAGATAGTAAAAGACAATATTTGCATTGTTGGTTGATCGCCTTCACATGCAGCTGAACAGTAATACCCCTAATACTCTGTGAAAAGGGCTAATATTTTCCTCCATAATAGTTTGCTTGAAGAAAGTATTCAGAGGGAATCAGCAAGCCTCCAAAACCAACAAGCTGATGATGTTACACCTCTGCAGCGCTGCCGAGTGAGAACAGTCGGGCAGCGCCAAGCTCTGTGGTGGAGCCAGTTGATCTCACCTCCAGATAGAGGCTGAATGTGTGTGTGTGCGTGTGCGTGCGTGTGCGTGCGTGTGTGCGTGCGTGCGTGCGTGCGTGCGTGTATGGGTGCGCAGTATTTACATAGGGATTGCAGGAGCTGAAATTAAGCTGCTTTCCAGCCCTGTGATGATATTTTCATATCTTTGCTCCCTTATTTCCTTTCCTCTAACTGCTTTGCCTTACAGTGTGCTGGGGCAGCAGCCAGTTGCTCAGTGAGCTTCCTGCTGAACGCTGCCTGAGATATCCCCTTACACATGTGGGGCTCTGGGGTCACAGCAACCCCTTTGGAGCGCAGGCTCGCATGGAGGAAAAGACAGAAGGAGAGAGAAAAGCTGTCTGATGGTGGGTAGAGCAAAGGCATAATGTGTATAAGCAATGCTTATACACATTATGGCCTCAGTTTAAATATTACAATTGTATTCATTACTATCAGCCTTTCTTTTATCAAAGTACAACACTCACTCACGAAGCATTGATGCAGTATGAGTATTACTCATAACATTTAACATACTTTAAATGCAATTTGTTGACAATTCTAAAAGACTCGGTAACTGACATTTTCAATGCAGGACTTAATGGAGTTTTGAAGTTGACACTTTCAGTAAAGGATCCCAATAGTTCCTCAAAATGAGAATGGTTTTCCAGAAAGTTTGTTTTATTTCTTTGATTTACATAATCTCAAATCCACAACTATTTGACTACAGCTCAATGATTCCACATTACTCAGTGCCTTACTCACTGCCAGAGTGGCATCCAGATGTTCCGGTGCCCTCACTAGCTGCACATTTCAAAGGAAATACAAGGTGAAATAACAGTGGAAGGATTAAACTCTGCCTCTCTAAGAAAAGCATCCCATACAATCACTCATATAATAGAATTCCACGGGAATTCCCATAAAGTTAATGATAGAGAGAGAGGGGGGAAAAAAGAGTGGGAGATAGAGAAGGGGAAAAACAGGTTCTTTTGAATTGTAAAAATAAATAAACATGTTTGGGCTTATAGCTGGGAGCATTACACCCCACAGTGAGAATCTTTCCTGGCAGACTCCCAGCACGAGATGAAAGGCAATCCCACTATAAACACAGGCGTAGGAACGTATCATTTATCTTTCCCCATTATGGGAGGTCAAAGCTGTTATGATCTAATAGCTGAGGTGAGGCTACCTTAGTCTTCTTTCTAGAAATTTCAAATAAAGATATGTTGAGCAACTCTACACTTAATTATAGAACACAAGAAGCCTGTGGCATACTGCCTGTTGTTCACATCTGGCAAACCTTAATGTCCCTTTTACAAACATTAATGCATTCATCTTAAGGGCCATCTTAATGGAAATGTAAGCTTTAACCTGAGTATATTATCGGTGGGAAAATGTGGAGTTTCAAGGTATTACTTGGGCAGGAATCGCCCGCAAGTCTCACTTCTTCAGATGGCATTGATTAAAGCCTTGATCCTGAAGAAGCACATGACTCAGAAAACAGCTGTTTAGGATACAGGGAAGATCTCCTCGGTATTTAATTAATCAAACTCTTGGCCTGCTGCAGTTAAAGTGGAAATTACTGCAGATGCTTTGTAGGGGGCATTTAATAAGGTTGTTGGGAGTCATTTGGAGGTGAATCGTGAAAACCAGTTAGTTCGGATTAAACCTCCTTTTAAGCATGTAGCCTACAGGTAATAGGTAAAACATCCCCCAGTAAGTTATTTAGCCTCATACCTTCAGGATTAATTTGTGGTAGGTCTTCTGTTTATTGCAGCTTCCCGGTGGAGGGATCTAGGGCGATAGGCACATAATAAAGCAGTTAAAGAGTCTTATAATCCTTGTAGTAGTTGTTGGAGACCAAAACAGAAACACAACTTTATGCTATGTTCTTACCCATGAGATTAATGACGGAAGACTTTCAGGTACTTTGTGCTTGTTGCCTTTTTTCTGTAATTGCCCTCCATATGTCCACCCGTCATTAGGCCTGCTATTCATACAGATAAGAGGCCAGTGTAATTGCCGTGCAGCCCAGCAGTCACGGCACGGCCGCTGATGTTCTGCCAGCACACAATCAAGATGCCTGCTTCAGATTATCACGCTGTAAACAAACTGGTGCAGCCTCTCCCTCAGTGAACTGTCAGACTTCTTTCATGTGCTGGGATTAGCATTTCCAACTGTCAGCTGCCAGACTGGGCTCACTGCTTCTCTCTTGACATACTGAGTGAATGTCTGGAACAAAAGAATCAGATAAACAAATATACAAATGCTAGCCAATCAATGCTATATGATTACCTCTTTGATCTGATTGTGTTGTTGAATCCACATCATTCACTTTTGTTCTTTCTTGCTCTATTTGACTGGGGGAACTGTTCATTTAACTGCTTCTCCAGAGAAAGACAGCATACCAGTAAAATGTCTATTTGGAACACTGGAAACTATAAATGAGGGCAACCATTAGGGCGTATTTTTTTGTGCAGAGTTGAATTAAACTAAAGAAACTCTGTAAAATAAGATAATTGCTTCTGTTTCAACACATACAAACAGTTACAGTATGAAGACATTACCACAGGGACTGAGACTGCAATATTTTGTTGTGAACACTTAAATTGGATGAAAATATGTTCCACACGTTTCACAACAGCCATGGCATCTTGTGGAAAAACAGCTATCTGTCTCTTGTTTGCGCTATTATAAAAAAATCTGCTATAAAGTTCAGCTTCTTCCATAATACTGACTGAAAATAATTCATTTTAGGACAAATGCAGACAACCAAAACATGTGGGCTGAAACCATCCGCTGACGTACCACAGAGCGGAAGTAACTAACATCAGGGTCAAGCATTGATGGATACTAAATGATGCTGGTATGCAGGAAATGAATACTTGTATATACTTGAGCTTGTTTAGCCACTATGTGCACAGCTCTTTGGAAATTAGATCTTTCAATATTTACTGAAGCCTTTGATAGTCATACCCTGCAGTTACCTAAAAGAAAACAATGTGAAGCTGTGTTGATATGTGATGTGGTGGTTGCTGTACAGCATTGTATTGATTTCCCCATATTGTTTGTATTTGGACTTTCTGATGTATAAAGAGGGCGTTATTGCACGTGCACTGATCATAGTTGCCATTACATACTGTAATGAAAGCAATGTTCGGATGAAAGATGAAGTATGAAAACCAATGTAAAAAATATGTTTCCAAACATAAAACCCTGAAAAAAGGCATGGTAGGCTTCAACTTCTCACTTAAATGATTCATATTATGCTGATGACTCTTCATGGAAACATTTAGTTTAAGAGCTGTTTTATCAGGATGTAGTGCAGATGTCTCAGAGCCCTGTGGCTGAGTGTGTGAGGTCTTCCTATACCTTGTAAAAAGGTTAGCTGTTAAAAAGACTTGTGACTTTTTGGATCGAGTTACTCTGATAACTACACCAAATATTTGTTTCTTCTAAAAAGGGCCAATCATTTGCAAAGTCACTGCCACAGTGAATGTGTTTTCTAAGAGACAAAACAAGATAAAAGCTTGTTTACAGATTTACAGCATGTGGCACAGCTCTTTGTTTTCCACTGCCACTACACAGCAGTTGCTGACACAAAAATGCACAACCACGATTTAGGGTTAACTCTCCCTTCTGACCTTTGACTTCTTGCCATTCTTGTCAGGGATGTAACTGTCTTCAGTCAATCTAGCTTATATCCTTGTGTCTTCAGAGTCCAAACAAGGAGCTGGGCATTCTTTTGAATGTGGGAGTCAGGGGAATGGGACATCCCTGAGGATTTAACTGTTTCTCTCCCACAAGCATGACATTGTCTGCATGCGTGTTGGCTCACATGAAACAGGCCTAGGCTTTGCTGTTGTCTCGTCAGCAGAGACACACTGTGGCTGACTCATTCCCCTGACCAACGCCACAGTCTAATCTGCGGCCCGACAAAAGATAAATGCAAAGTTGCATGAGTTTACAAAGACTTGGGAGGGAATCCTACTGCTTACACATTCAGTTCATTCAGATTCCTCTAAAAAGCTGGGAGAACATAATAAAGAACAGATAAATGGACTGTGAGGTAGTAAAACAACTAGGTAGTAGTACAGTCAGGGTTTATTCCACACCATGTGTTTCGTATTTAACCCAGTTTCACATGAAACTAGGCCATGGATCATCTACAGCTTCCTGCTGCAAGACTTCAATTTTGAAAAGCCACGTGTGTACACAAACACACACACACACACACACACACACACACACACACACACACACACACACACACACACACACACACACACACACACACACACACACACACACACACACACACACACACACACACACACACACACACACACACACACACAGTGAGCCTGTGTTCTTTCATCTTGACCCCTGAAAGACCACATGCTGGGAAGAATTCCCGGTGCGTTATGACTGGGGGAAGTAGCTAGTTTAAAAGAATAATAAATAAGAGCAAAGGCGGAAATAGAGAATGACATTTTTTGCTACTTATGGCCAGTCTTAACTACTCCGTTTAATTTATCTCTTTAGATGAGACATTTGCAGAAGACACATTCATCGATGAAGCTTTTCCAAGAGGCATTTTGAATGACTGTAAGCACTAAGCATTTCTGTTTTCATTAATGTAACATATGACTGCCTTCAGAGACCGAGTCATAACAGGCCCATTGTACAGCACAAACATTTACAGAGGAATAACACTGCAGGCACAACATATGTGGATGTTTTTCACTGCTTTGCAACACTGAATATTCCTGTATATGTGTTTCTCACCTGCTTTAATTTGATAGGGTTTGATTAAACTAGATTGAAAGACTAAAGTTTGATAAACTCACATCAAAGTATTTCCTAAGTTCTCCTGCCTTAGAATCAGGATTTATTAGACCACCAGTGCAGATCTGTGATCTGTGGTTTAGAGATTAGTTAAAGCTGTGGACAATTGATATGTGCATCAATTCAAATGACAATTGACTTTGAAAATGTGTATACAAGCATAATGAATTGCATATAATTGTTTATTGTTAGTAATTATTTAAAGAAACACACATAATGACTTTTTGAATTCAATCTGTGGCAAATTAATCTGAAGGATTTGAACACTTTCAACTTTGTCGCCCTCAAGTGGAAGGGTCAAAAAATACCCTAACATTTTGTTTTAATGGTAAAAATGTCCCTTTGTTGGCTGTAAAAAAAGTCTCTTCATTTGTTCAATTTGTGATCTATAAAAGCATAATAAAACTGTGAATAATTTGACTCAGTTTGAATGGATCATTACACACACCTTCCTTTGCATGCTAGGGTTCAATATCGTGCAAGAACAAAGAAAACTGTAACCCTTGCTCATTAAACTGCCATCAAGGGGCTTTTGTAATAGATAAAATATCCACTCTCACGTTAACAATCAGACCCATTGAAGTATTGTGGCACTTAAACATGTTGAGACAGCCTTAAGGCAACACAAATGACAAAAGGGTTGAAATATTAGTATAACTCATGGCACATCTAACAGTCTACTAAAGATTAAAGCCTGGCTGGATGTTAACTCTGAGCAATTCATCTTTTGATAAACTGAAATTTGAGGAGATCATACGGGTTGGGGCACTCAAAAGAGAATCTGCAGTGAACCATGTTGTCACTAATTTATAGAGAAGATCAAATTAAGTGTTTTATAAAAAAAAAACGTTATCTTACATTTTCACTTAGAAACTCTTTCAATTATTTATGGCTTTAATCATTGGCATGTCAATTTTAATCAGAGCATTCCTGCAGGTGAATGTCAATACACTCTGTCACGCTATGTGGAAAGAAATTAGTAATGCATTTATTAAAACAACAATCACTCTCTACTAATTCTCTCATCTTAGCAACACAAACATGTGGTCTACTGTTTTTTTTTTTATTGCTTTGAGATCATCATCAACTCACAAGTATTGCAGCAGTATGCACACAAACCAAACGATCATGCTAATTTAAAAGAACCAATCAGACCACCAACATGTGAATACCTAGTGAGATTGATCAAATTAAGCTACAGACTAGAAAAGTGAAGGATAACAAACAGATTATTTATCATAATTTAATCAGAGCGTTGTGGGTGGTATTCAGTGTATGTGAGGGGAGACCAACAGGTGAGGTAATAACCGCTCACAAGTTATTCGCATCATGTTGCCAAAGAAAAGTAATAAAATCACTGAGGAGTAGCTGGAGGAAAACCACCCAGATCTGTTATTGCTCGAAGGGAAGCTGCAAAGAGAGGGGGACGTGGGGCAGGCTGAGATAAGTGGCACCTGTGGGTGTTACAGGCCTGGATAATTAGTCATATTTCAACATGTTTCTTGCCCTCAAGTCTTAAATGTGGCAATCAAAATGTATATTCCAATCATGATGATAGGGAAGAAAAAGAAACTGGAATGCTGCACAGATGTTATTACATTACATTACATTACATTGCATTTAGTTGACGTTTTTATCCAAAGCGACTTACAATAAGTGCATTCGACCAAGAAGATACAAACTTGAAGAAAACAGAATCATATAAGTACATCAGGTTTCATAGAGCCAAAACATTTCAAGTGCTACTCAACTGGCTTTAGATAAGCCAGTCCTTTATTAGTATACAAGTGCTTTGTTAGAAATTCTTTGTTAGTAATTCTATCGCTCGAAGTGGAGTCAAAAGAGATGTGTTTTCAGTCTGCGCCGGAAGATAGGCTTTCTGCTGTCCTGATTTCAATGGGGAGCTCATTCCACCATTTTGAACTCATTAACTAAATGGAAAAATCGAAAGTGAAATGTTACCACTTGTCTATATGGGCTCTTGGTTTGTTCTTTTATAGCTTCTGTGCAATAACACGGTGTTTCAGTAATCAACATATACAAAAATCAGTCTTAACTCAAGGTTCATCTGCAAGCTTTTTCCAGATCTTTTTATCACACGATCCTCATCAGCAACTGCAGTATGCTCTGTTGTAATGGTGATAGATTCGTTGACAAGCAGGCATTGAGCGTTTAAAATGGATGAAAAGTGCAATGGATGAAATCATAACAGCTGCTGAGATTGCATGGCAACAGATCCATCCCCATGACAACTGAGCAATCTTTATCTGTGGATGAAGATCATGTTACGGCTGAAATCTCAAGAGAAGGTCTGGATTATTTTTGTTAAACTACAACTTCCAAGGCCAGGAAGGAATATTGAACATGTTTCACATCAGGGGGGGGGGGGGGGGTATACAACGCACACATGAGGGGGACATTTTATAGCGTAATCATTGTGGGATCATTGTGTCCATTAGATGTATTAAAATCAATGCATTTTATCAAATATTTTCACGAGTTGGTCATTAAAGTCAGCAGGTCAACAGGTCAGCTTTTATTTTAACGCTTGGACTCGTATTTCTCAGACTTGTTTAAGTTATACATTATATAATTGTTGTTATACATTATATAGTTGTTTTTTAATCTTTTTTATCACTTAAAGTAACTGTCTCACTATGGATAACCCCCCGAAGACTCTGAAACCCATTATATATAAAGACTCACAGGTGATGAACTGGCCTATAAAACAGAGTTTCACATCTATTGTGAGATAATAAACAATAGTACAAGACACAATATGTTGCACCTTGGAAAATATATGCCCCTATGTGGCTTTATTGTATTGAAAAGTGTTGAAGGTAAGAGAAAACACACAGACTTCTGATGAGCCATAACAATCAAACATGGATTGCTGAAAACAACCCATTTTAGTGCATTATTATCCTTCTACAAAAGGGTAGAACACAAGAAATACTATAAAATAAAGTAGACTAAAAAGAACAGTACAAACAGCATACACATGCAGAGAGGTCAGCAGGTCCCTCTCTGTTACATCCAGTGCAAAAGTCTAAGTCAAAGTTCAAGACATGCCACCTTGACGTCTACATTTAGTTCAGTATGCAGCCAAGCAGTCTCTTTTCTCCTCCTTCTGATCCAGACCCATCTGTCCTCTTCACAACGCAGCTGGGAACGCCTTTACCGAGGCCTCCCTCACAAGTCTTTCCTTAGTTTAATCACAAAGGAGGATCCCTGCAATAAAACAGGAGCTTGGATTATGTGGGGGAAAACAGCGGGAGTTTTAGGAGGAAAACTCAAACTAGGTTTATAAAAACAATGAAATGTACCAAAAGGTTCGGTGGTTATCGCCTCCACAGATAAAAAATAGAGGCTATTGGACTGAGCTGGCTTGAGAGCTGTGAGTGAGAATTGACCTCCCCATGTGGAAAGTCAAATCTTAACTCAGAGTCTAGTGGCAACTTTATGTTGAGAAGTTCAATGTCGGAAAGAGGTTGTGTGTTCAATTCATGAGTTCATCAAGGTAACATGGTGTTTAAAAGGAAAACAAACATGCGACAATTTCATCACTTTGTTTTCAGCTGTGACTAAAGCAAAATGAAGGAAGTCTGGCATGATTCTACTGATACCAAAAGTAATCAAAAACATGCTAATGTGTCTTTCTTCTAGGCTGTTGAACTTTCTTTCTTTCTTTTTTCTTGCAAGCCCCTTATCTTCTACACAGCCAGGACCCCTGCACTTGCCAACAATTTCTCACGCTGAACCAATTTAGCTTGAGCCGACTAAAAGGGATTACCCCCTTGGTTTTCCTTTTTGTAAGTAAATTGATATGAACTCCTTGGTCCTAAATAAAAAGGCAAATCCAAAGTGATGAAAGTGCTGCACATTCCTAAAGGTGTGGCTTTTGTAGAAAGAGTTCAGAATGGAGGAGAGTTGCTGTGCAGATGTGCAGAGAGGCCAGAGAGAGAGGCAGAGACAGAGTGCACTCAGGACACTAACACTAAACACTAAAGCACAACCAAGGAGTCAGTTGCTTTTACTTACACAGAAACCACTGCACTCACTCACTGCAGAGCTTACTTCTTCTTCCCGCCTAATGATATACTTTCAGTTTTTTTCTTCTGTGCCTCATTGAACAAAAGACACACCTTTATGTTAGCAAGCGGTTTGATTTATGTGAGTGTATGAATGTGTGACCCCACCCATGTGACACAAATTGCATAATTATAGTGTTTGGTAGCTCCAGGTGAAAAGCCCAAATGACACTGGGTAGATTTGTTTTTACTTGTTCTCAAAATGCCTGTTTGTCACACCGGGAAACCTGGATTACTGCCATTGTTTTAACCCTTTAATTTAATCTGGTTTACCACACAGGCTAAGCAACATGTTGGAGACCATGCAGAACTGTCACTTTAACCTCTGATCACTGCATGTCTTATTCACAGTCTTTGTACCACAACCCCTGAGTCCCTATTATAACACTGTGATTGCTGCCACAACAAATATCATAGTAACAGTGCAATTAACAATACAAATCTTATTGTTGTAATGTTTTCCTTGACCAAAGAGTAAGGGTATTGTTTAAATAAGTGTTTGTTTTTGTGCAGAAACAGTTTATTTGTGGAACATTGCTTCTGGTGGAGATTTAATAGAAATAGAAATAAAAGGGTTGTTTCTTGGTTTGGAACAGTAACTTCATTGAGTGGAAGCTTCAAGGTTTCAAGAGGGTCTTCCTTGCTCACAGGATAGGTTCTTTTGATGCTCACACATGAGTTAGGAATATATAGGGTTTTTATTAGTTTTTATTTATTTGATTAGTTTTACAGATTGAAAAGCGTTTGAGGCAAATTTTTATTAAAGTAAAATTGACTTGATTTTGCTTGCTTGTCAGAGCCAAAAACAAAGTCTGGCACAAAGCCCAGTTGCCGCTTTTACATGTGATTTTTTATTTTGCTATTAGTTAATGATCTTTAGAGGTTTTGGTTACCTTATCAAGCAAGGCTAGCAGTAGTTTATTTGTGCTAAACTAAGTTAAGCTGCTGCTTGCCGTAGCCTTATATCTAATGGGAAGATGTGAGAGGGGCATTTATCTTATCATCATCTCAGTATTAAGGTAAATGTTTCCCAAAAAAAGAAACGCTAAATTATAAATTTTCCTTCAAAGTTTTCTTATTGTGAAACATCTATAAGAGAAACTCTAATATTTCAACTCTCCCTACAACTTTCTCACTCCATGTTACAGAGTGTCATGTTACTGGCAACAAGTGATGAAGTTTGGCATGTTTGTGATCTATTGAAATTAGTTTAACATAGAGAGGTGTGAGAGCTTGAACAAAGCATGACTGTGCTGATAGACGAATACATAAATAAACTTTAATACAAGTCCTACCTCTGTCATGGCATCATCGATCTGTTTCAGCTCCTCGTAATGGTCACGAGAGTCTCTCAGAGGTTGAACCATGATCTCCTCAATCTGAGGGAAAAGCTGTTGGACACCACAGTAAGGTCATTAATTGTGTGTGTAATCAGTGTGTGTATTTGTAAAGGAACACATCTGTACACACATCGTCCTACCTTCATGACCGTCTCAAACATTGGGATGAGGACAAACTTGATGAATCCAATCTGAGCAGTGGGCTTGGTGACTTTGTCTCTGTCCATGAAGGGAGCCACGGGGAGACCCTCAGACTTCTCCCTGTCACTCTGAAAGCACATGAGTGGAAACATTGCCATTTAGCCTTGGCTCTCATTGTACACATTTGGTATAATTTGGTATTAAGATAAACCATTTACTAGTTGCCTATTAGCATGCATATAAGCAGCATAATGGCCCTGGATAAGTCATTCTAAAACACTTATTAATGCCTTTTACTGTATGACCATATTCTACCACAACTAGGACAAAGTTGACATGATGGATTCAGATAATGGACTTGAAAGAATTCCGTCACCTGCATGAAGTACTCCTCCAATAGGCAGTCCACCCATGGCTCAGCTACCTCAGTTGGCCTCACTTCGTTGGAAATGTCACAACACTTGATCATAACCATCTTCAGCTGAAAACACACACACATATAACACAAAACATAGGATAAAGAAGCCTATTTATCTTAACAAACATACAGCATCTACCGATTTTCTTTGACTACTTTCCAAATGATACTTATACAGTCTATTTAGCCTCTGCTGATCACAGCACAACCCGCAGATTAAGGCATGCTTGTGTTGAGATCATGTCTTGCATGTGCCGTGCAATAAACAGCTGATGTCAGGTGGATATGCAACGTGATCTTGTATACATACACATGTCACATGCTCCTCATTGGTGAAATCAAAGTTGTCCACTTTCTGCTTAAAGGAGTCTAGTATCTCGCCATGTCTGGCCATGTCGGTGGCCAGGATGAGGGTGATAATTGCCTGGAAATATAAAAAAATAAGTCAGTTTGCTCGACATTTGCTCAAATATTGTTCAGATTAATATATTTGTAAGTGACAATGCTGAGTAGGATATTGATAAAACTCATCATGCTTGTCACAGTCAGAATTCCACTTGTGTATCTCACCTGTCGGATCTGTTTGAAGGCCTCAGGATCCACATTGGCAAAAATGTTGCACTCAGGAAGAGACAGGATCTGGAAGGCCACAGCACAGTGGTGGTTCTCCAGCGGAGATATGTCATTGTAGCGCACTGCCAGCTCTGTGCGCGCATTGATCTGGTACCTGGTGGATGGATGACACGTGTGAATTGATAATATATTCCCATGAAGCTTCCCTGATGAGAGAGGTCTCGACCTGCAGAAAACTCCGACCAAAAACAAGAAGATGATCTGAATCGGCGTGTTTTCATACCTGAACTCTCTCCATGCTGAACCAGTTTCACAGTTCATTGACACGATGTTGTGCAGAGGATGTCAAAACATACTGGAGTCAGTAGGCAGACAAAATAGGGAGTCTTACGTGTTGTTGTAGCCAGGGTGGTCCAGGTCATGGCACACTGCTGCTGTCATCAAAATGCCCATGTCTGTGAGAGTCAGCTTCTCCTGGACAGCAGTGTGAAAGAAAGGCGTAATTACAAATCGTCCAAATGAACATCAAAATGTCCGATCTGGAAAGTCAGTACCTAGATCTAAATAGGACTTCAGAAGTTAACTTCATCATGAACAGACATAGACATGCACCATACCTGTAGGTTGCAGAGGTTAATCATGCCATACATCATCTGACTGACGCAGAAGCAATGTCGAAAGTTGTGGAAAGGGTTATTACGGTAGTTCTCCTGAATCGCCAACTAGCAAACAAGACAGTCAGCATTTTAAGTAAAAGCCTTTTTGAAATCTACACAATGTGTTATTTTTTACTGTTCAAACTTTTACCAGCCAGCGTTTGAGTGTGATGGGGTTCATGTTGAATTCCTTCACCAGTCCCAAGTCATGGTACATATACTCCAAACAACTTAGCATCTAAATTCACAAAGGAAAAGAAGGGAGATCCAGACATCAGTCACTTGGATAACATGGAATGGAAATGGCTGATTGAGTTATGGAGCTGCACTGTCAACAAACCTCGTTATGTTCCCAGTGCCAGACATCGAATGTCGGCTTCTTGAGCGCCTCAACAGTCTCCTGAGACAGTGTGTACTGTAAAAAACAAACAAACATACCATTAGAACTTTAAACGGAAGCTGATGTCATTAATTTAGTTAGCTTTATCGGTTAGTAATGAAATAAAAGTCCCAGCGGACATACCTTTGGGTAATTGGGGACATCTCGTCTGGGAGTGACCTTCTTCCCATCGTCAAAGTTGTATTTGCATGGACAGTTAACTCTGATTTTAGAAGCAAGAAAAGTTGATTTGACTATGATTTGACCCGATCTGGTATCTGTTGATATCTGTGAGTAAGATGTCAAATGTCCAACTTATCCATTTTACCTGGCACCACCTCTTGAAGCCATCTCATCTCGTAGCTTTTTCAGATCATTTTTACACTTCTCAATCTCCACCACCTTCAGGCCCTCCACTGTCAAGATGACAAGAAGAAATATCACAGTTTGGCTTCCTCCCAGGTCAGCTGTATTTCATTTTTAATTTACATGTCAGGGGGATTTTTTTTTTGTGTAAACCATCTGCTATAAAATGTAACACTTACATTCCACTCTCTTCTCCAGCATTGCTAGCCTGTTCGTGACCTCCGTCTTCAACTCGTTGATCCGGAAGGCTCTGTGAGAGGAAGTAATAGAAAATGATATATGACTCATATTTCACATGGTTCATTGGTCATAAAAACAAAATATAACTTGGATGGGGCCACAACAAATCAATGACAAAGGTAAAATAACGTGTGTGATTGAACTTGCCTTTATGGGTTAAGGCTTGTATTATAATTGTAAGTCCCTGGTGTCAGGTATGTGTATGAGGTATGTGTGAAGGTGGGAAAGGGCAGGCTTCAGCCACATCATAACATAAACAACTGGGGCGTTACCTGCTGAACTGTTCAGCCACCTGGGACAACACATTCTGAAACATGTCTTCCTTTTCTGCAGACACAAATGCACCCCTGATAAATCATCATGAACAGCAATCACATTGTCAGGTTTGGTATTTTTGAGCTCATTACTTTCACAGTAGAAGTGTTGTTGATGCATGAATGTGTGTGTTTGTGAGCTTGTTAGAGTGAAAGGAAAATAAAGCTGTTGACAGCTGACAGCTTACCTCCAAGCTGACCAGTCGAAAGAGGCACAACTTTGTACAGAGAGCTGTGAGGAAAACAGATGAATCGTTATGATTCAAAACATCAGTTTAAATACAACTTATTTACATTCCTTTATTTTGCTAATATACACAGAGCAATCTCACCTCTGTCGTGGTTTTGGATTTATGTTTTCATTTTCCACCTTTTATTTTGAAATGTTTTCCTCCTTGTGTCTTGTCTGATCCTACTTTCTGTGTTTGCCTTCCTATCGTTAGTTTCCCTGGTGTGTCTGATTGCCTGATTGTCTTCACCTGTTGCCCTTGTGTTTCTGCCTCCCCTGCCCAGCTGTGTCTTGTCCTGTGATTACCCTTCTGTGTATTTAGTCTTGTCTTCCCCTGTGCTCCATGTCTGTTCGTCGTCTCTCCTCGTCTATGTTACCTGCCCGTCTCTTGATGTCCATGCTCTTGTCCATGTTACCTGTCACGCTCCATGCTTGTTCCTGAGGTTTTTTTGTCCTGATCCTTCCTCGTAAGAAATTCCTCGTAAGAATTTCCCTGGTTTCCTTCCTCGTACTCCCCCGGTTTTGGTAATGTTAAGTTGTTCCTTGTTTTCTGTTGTCATCAGCTTTGGAAAATAAAGCTCGCTTTTTGTTACCTAACCTTTTAGTCCTCTTACTGTATTTGGGTCCTATTTTTCCCCACCCCTGACAGTACGAACAGACCAGTATGGACCCAGCAGTAATTTTTTGAGGATGCTCTTGATGATCTTTCTTTCAAGATTTTATGCATTTTTGGAGTGTGGAGGGGGGCTCCTTGTAAAGAGACTCAGGAGGCTGCTTTTTCCCTTGCACGCCGGGAGGTGGCAGATAAGCCCTGGCTGGTAAGCTCACTGCCAGAAATGTTGAAGACATTTGTGACTTCCCCAGACAGTCTGCATGCCTGCCTCAAACCCAGTGCCCCAGCAGCCAAGCTATCGGCTACGGCCCCAGTACCCAAGCGACCGGCCCGAGCTCAAGCAGCCATGGTTCCAGCCCCAGTTCTGGCCCCAGCAGCCATGGTCCCGGCTCCAGTTTTGGCTCCAGTACTGGCTTTCCGGCCGACGGCAGCCCCCCGTGTCCTGTCCGTGTTTCGACCGACGCCAGTCCCCCGTGTCCTATTGGTGGTCCGGCTGACTCCAGCTCCCCGTCTCCTGTCTGTGGTCTCGCCGACTCAAGTCCCTTCACCGTCGGGGGTCCCGCCGACTCAAGTCCCTTTTCAAGTCCCTTCTCAAGTCCCTTCTCAGGTCCCTTCTCAGGTCCCTTCTCAAGCCCCTTCTCAAGCCCCGTCTCTAGTCCCTTCTCTAGTCCCTACTCAAAGTGCTCAAACTTCACGTGTGCTAACAGTCCAGCCGTGAAGACATCTACGGGGCAGTTTTGAGATTTCTTCAAATGCCGTTGCCATGGCAACACAATGCTCACCATGAAACACGGTTTTCTCATAACTTCAGTGAAAATACTCCAAACGGCCCAAAACTTCACAGGTTTAGTAACGATGCAGCCATCAACGCATCTAAGCGTATTATGGGATGTCATCAAATGCCGTTGGCATGGCGATAGATCATTCACCATCAAGTTAGTTCAAAAGTTTGCAGTTCAAATATTCTGCTGCTTTTCCAAGCCTTTTTACTTTCTTTTCTTCTCTCATCACACATTCAAGCCCCCAGTGTTCATGTATCATTTCAATCTAAATTCTTCACTTTCTTCTTACACATTACATTTCATCATAGCAGTTTAGCGTCAGATTTTCAGCATAAAGCATTCCCACTAGCAATTTCTTCAGGAATTGCATTCTCTAGTTTTGAAATGTTTTCCTCCTTGTGTCTGATCCTACTTTCTGTGTTTGCCTTTCTGTCGTTAGTTTCCCTGGTGTGATTGCCTGATTGTCTTCACCTGTTGCCCTTGTGTTTCTGCCTCCCCTGCCCAGCTGTGTCTTGTCCTGTGATTACCCTTCTGTGTATTTAGTCTTGTCTTCCCCTGTGCTCCATGTCTGTTCGTCGTCTCTCCTCGTCTATGTTACCTGCCCGTCTCTTGATGTCCATGCTCTTGTCCATGCTACCTGTCACGCTCCATGCTTGTTCCTGAGGTTTTTTGTCCTAATCCTTCCTCGTGCTCCCTGGTTTCCTTCCTCGGAAACTCCCCCGGTTTTGGTAATGTTAAGTTGTTCCTTGTTTTTTGTTGTCATCAGCTTTTGGAAATAAAGCTAGCTTTTTGTGACCTAACCTTTTAGTCCTCTTACTGCATTTGAGTCCTATTTTTTCCCCACCCCTGACAACCTCAAGATTAATTAAGAACGCTGATCTGTAACAGCTATTTAATTAACCTTGTGGTGAGATTGTTCTGTTGATTACTGTTTCCAAGGTAAAAAACACAACAAAACCCCTTCTTAAATGGGGAGGAGATAAAATAAATAAATAAGATGACTCAAGTGAATGGTAATATGGGATTTCTTTTTAAAGAAACCCAACATGGTAATGTGCTGTTACTTTGGAGAGTTGGTGGGCATGGTGGGATCCATAGAGACTAGGGCTCCTTCTGGGTCAACCATCATGATGGCAGTGGTCCTGCAGTGAGAGGAAACAGGAAAGAAAATACAATACATTTTCTTTATCGTCTTTAATATTCAACAAAGCTACATCTGCAGCGTTCCTGGAAAGTATCTCCTATTTCACAAAAGAGAATCCGTTAATTGAACGAAAGAGGAATGAGTGCCAACTGGAAGAATAGTGTATACAAAGTTTATGCTTCCCAATAAAAGCAAAACAGAACTAAAGGCAGATGACGGCTCCATCTTGCTTTTATCCTTTATCATCGTCTACTTTGATGTGCATAGCTAATGCAGCATGTCTGTCAGAAAATTGCATGCAAGGGCTTGTTGAATGTGAGTGACTGCTTTACTGCACACAAAAGTAGTAGCACTGTAATGATGTAAGGATTTTTATGTGGCTTTATGTTATGGTTCTAAGATTTGAAAGGATATTTTCAAGTATGCGTAGAATCACAGTTAGGGAGTGCGGTCATCTGTATGTAAAGAAATAAATGAACAAAGTAAGAAACAAAACGAAATACCTGGGAATGTTAGATGAGGTACACAGGAGCTCCTTGATGTCACATGGACTGCAGTGCCGACTGAACACCACCTGAGAAACAGATGTATACGTAGTAAGTGTATTTCAACAAATAGAAGTGTTAGACAAAGAAGTTACAATAGACAAAATGCTTTCACATTGGATAAATGGAGTATTATTTATTAACATGTAATATGTGTATGATAAAATCTCATCTATGGCCCATAAATCCAACAGTGTGCAATCTGTTTCTATATGGTTTCAAAAGGCACACCTGCACACAAACAGCTGCTGTGTTAATGATATAAAGCCTCAGTGTTCTGACAGGGGGGAAAGGTTATCACATTTCATGTGTTTTTTTGACAACCCAGTCACATGGGAAAGTAAAGTAAGGGTCGGCTCGTTTAATGGTTGAATAAGGTCAAGTCCAGTGAGAGAAAGAAAAGGACAGCTGTGGTGAGAGTGTTCACGGAGCGTTTAGTAACATTATCCACGCCTGTCATGCAACCAGCCCAGTTTACAAGATTTACTATAGTACATGCAGATATTACAAAGTGTGTTTCTGTCGAAAGCAAAGTGTGAGTATGTAAACTCTGCGCTAAACATGTGATCTTACATCTGAATGCAGCAGGTGTAGCTGACAAACATTCAAAGTCAGGCTGTGGGCTTGGGGCTGTTGAACCGACATGTGTCATCGCCAGCTCTCTACTTGAAGCACTCTACATCACCAGATCTGGTTGATGATGTAGGCGGATAGCAACAGGTGTCTATTCTGTCAGTAAAACCTGTAATGCTAACTCTGCATCTGTCTGCTCCTCAGGTGAGGTTAGTCCACTGGGAGGACATGGATCATAAGGCGAGCCGTAGACAATTAATTGCCATAATTACATTTCAATTTAAGTTGATTATATCATTAAATACAGTTTCTATTTCTTAATGTCTTAAAATGTTGATATAGATTTTTCTTTTTTCATTTGGAGGATGAATGTAAACATATTTGGATTGGATTGCCAAAGTAATCTATACGATATTTATTCCAGTTTCTTAAATTGATTGATATTCCAAATACATCATTTATACTGCAGATATATTTGAGCAAAAACCTTTTTTGGTCTATTGTTCAAAACAGGCATATTATGAAGAAACTACCTAAAATACCTAAAAATCCACAACTATGAAAATTACAACTTTTTTTACAAATTACAACTTTTTGTGGCCTGCCAAAAAACATGGGATTCAACAAGCTATTTCAAACTCAAATGCAGGCTCATTAAAATATGTTTTGTCTACCCAACGCTTAAATGGCTTAAGAGCTACTTTTGCAGAGGTGCACTAAATGCACCTCTGCAAAATAAATCATAATCTCGCGAGCCAGTCAGAGCACACAGGGTTTTTGGAAGGGGGGCGTAAAGTGAAAGTATGAAAAATATTGTGCTTTTTGAAACTTTGAGCATGTTCTAGTAGAGCCCCAAAATACATATGAATGTGAACATTTGCATGATGTGCTCCTTTAACATATTAAATCTATGTTTTCTTGTATTCCCCATTTTATTTGAAATATAAGATACTAATACTTGATAGCAAAAATAAATGAAATAAAAATGTGCGTGAAAAGGCAACATTAACTTTGTAGACTAACCAGCCTGTCTAACACAGCAATATGTATATATACTGAAAGCACTTTTACAATGTAAACAATTAAAAAATATGCCCGAAATAGTGCATTCCTGCTCTCATTGGACTGACCTTTTGCACTTTCCCATCAACATCCAGGTAAATGGTTTTAGGGGCATAGGAAGAGGAGCTGGAGCCCATGTTGACCTCCCTCTCCTCTGCCTCTCTTCAAAGATTTCGGCAGGATTCCCTGATCGGCGAACTTGAGGAACAAGAAAAACAAATAAACGGATTTCCAGTATGTTCATGCATGTACTAGTGAGTGTACACTAATGTCTGATAAATACTACAAATCATGACACAATAAGATAATAAAAGCATCAGCACCATGTGAGTATTGCTCTCAGTTTTCTGTCAACTAATTTAAAACAACATAAATCTCTAGTTTTTGCTTTTGCCAATCTATGGTTTTAAAGACAGAAAAAAACATAAATATAGGAATACCATACCAAAGAATATATACAAAACATCATAAGTAACTGGCAATTATCAGATTAAATCAAATAGTAACACATATTCTTTCAATAAAACAAAAAAACGTAATAAAGTATTAGAGCAACATCACTCACAATGTCAGCGTCGGAGCTTCCCCTGTGGAGAGCGGAGGTAAAGTCCCAGGTGCTAATGATGCAGCTCACTCACATGCAGACACACAAACACACACAAGCAGAGGAAGAGCTGTACAGGAGAGGAGAGAGGGCGCGAGTGATGGAGAAGCTGGGTATGTGTGAGGGAGACAGAGGGGGTATGGACTAATATGAATATAACCAGCACTCTGAATGGTTGCCAGGGGACAGTTACTATGGTGAAAAAAGAGACAACCCTTATTTCTTAAGTGGTTTAGGGCTTTTACCTGTGCTGGTCACACAGGCCTGATTCTCTCTATCTCATAAGGAAAACCTAAAAGCATTATGGCTTTATCAAATACTGAACATACATTGTTTATCTGATTGAAACTCAGCTAGAGAATTATATTACGCCAGTGTTCTGTTGAAAACAGCAATTTATCTGGCCCATAAGGCACGCAGTGCCCAAACAAAACACTGATTAGAGCACTCAATGGTACATGGAAGATTATATCATATCAGAGGGACTCGTCCAAACAAGGGGCCCCTTCTTTCTTTTAGTCGCTGAAATGCCGAAAGCCAAGTGCCAAGTGCCAAATGGGATTTCATGTTCAATTTGTGTGTGTGTGTGTGTGTGTGTGTGTGTGTGTGTGTGTGTGTGTGTGTGTGTGTGTGTGTGTGTGTGTGTGTGTGTGTGTGTGTGTGTGTGTGTGTGTGTGTGTTACCCTCCCCAGACCACTTATCCACTTCATTGTTGAGGACAGGTTGGGCAGATGGATCTGTCAGACAAGTTCAGCTGTTCTGCTTGAGAAGATTTCCTATTTTATTTTTAGCAACAATTTATAATTGTTCACGTGGCGGAGACAATGGGCTATCTTGATGAGTTTCTTTTCATGGCAATTTTATTTTCATTAACCAAAATCTCTTCCTCAATTTGTGGGGCTGAACAAATACAGTGCAACACTGTCTTACCTTAGACCCTCTATATTGAGAAGGAAACATTCTTCAAGGAAAAGTAGAAATACACCTCAAGAAGAGCAATAGAGGAAAGATCCTTCAACAATTGAGTAAAAAGTGTGTCTAGTTTAACATTGATATACTCAGGTAAAATACAAGGACCTTAAACTTGTATTAAAGTGTGTTATCTATTTATCATCACTGCATAACAAACAGATACGTGTGATATGTTTAGTGTAGTCAGAGATAACAATTGTAGAGTTCTAATGTGGAAAACCAGCATGACAATACTTGAGTAGACATACATAGCATGTTATATTAAGTCAATATTAAGTGTTATTAGTTAGGAAAAATACAAGTGAGTAAAGACTAGGGGGCTGAGAAGAACTGGAAGGATCCTCTTTATTTATTTTGTTCATTGATCCACATAAAGATCAGAGCCCGTGCTCTACAATGGGACTACCTGTCATGGACTACTGCAGGTCCAGCTTTCCAACAATAAGTCAACCTCCTTTAGTGTGCAAATACATCAACAGGCTGATGTGAACAAGGACACAATTCGACCAGGCAGTAGGAGGATATAATTAATTAGGGATGGAGAGCATCATACATCATGTGTGTGTAACTCATAAGGCACCTACTCCCAAAGGTTTGCACATACACAGACACATGCACGCATGTACTATACACACGTATTTAATCCTGCTCTCCAGAGGCTAATTACTGCCTCTCTCTGCTCCTTAACCATGCTGCCGGTGAAACATGATGGGATCGACTGTGTAAATTAAAAAATGTAACATGAAAACAGATTCAAAGTAATTTGAGGACATTTTCCACTTTCTGTAAACCATGAGTGATTATGCATATGTTTGTGTGCTAAGGTCTCTATGTGTGTGTGCCTGTGACGCTGTATGTGTATTCATGAGTCTGTGTGCCAAGGAATAAATTGTGTTTCAAACAGAACAAAGGCGGCAAAGCACAGATCAAAACAGGCGGATCTGATTAGCTTATATAGCCGCAAGACTCATCACACCTTCAGTAATGGAAGATACATTTTAGGATAAAAGCAATAAATACAATCATGCAGATCTTCATGACAAAAGATGTCCAGCTGGACCTCTGAAAGGAACACATTATCCTGATAATAGTGATCGACCAGGCCAATTAATGTCTCTGTGTGCATTAATACACTCTTTCACAGAAACACTGTTGGACATTTTGTTATCTGCCATGTGTGAGGAAATAAATAAGTATTTTTTTGTCACAGTGGAAGTCAAAATCTGTGACAAAGTAGAGACACCAGACACATTTAAAAGTAATGCACACCTTATTTAGAAAGCAACAATAAGCACTGACAAAAAGTAGCATTTCTGGAAAACATCATCATTTGCAGGAAGCACACAGAAATAGTTTAAAAATGTTTGGGTATACATTTTAAAACTGGTAAAACTATTTCAAACCATGCTATTCAGAATTCCTCTCTTTATATATTTTTTGTTGCCATACTGAAGAGACATTCATTTGTTTCCAGTTTGTCCACAATCAAGAAGAAGAGTCTGTTAAAAGAAAATGAAATGGAGGCTTCACAAATACATTATATTCATGACTCCTCTTAAATTTAATTGGCTCACGTATTCTAAATATTTTTTTATTTGTGATTCTGATAGAATTATAGGTTCAACCACAGCTTGATCGTCATTGACCTCGTGTCAAATAATGTCAAGTGTCAGAGTAAGAGACACTTTGCCATGAGTGAACAGTAACTCATTACTGACCTCATTAGGTTACACAAAAGGGTAAAACGGTGGTTAGACAATCAAAACATAAAACATAACTTGCTAAATAACTCGTAGCAAAGTGTGGATTAATACAAGTAATTATCTTACTGACAACTGCGCTCTAAAATCCAGTATAATATGTGGGCGACATCTAATGGACTAAAAAGGAATTACGCTTCAACTCAAGAAAAGCAGAGAATTTTACAAAATAGATGACAAACTACAAACTATTTAAACTGCTTTTATTACCTCAGGTTATACAGTGACCTAGTGTTGAATACGAATACACCTTGTGGTTTAATTTTTGAACAAAACCCAACCCAAAACCATTAACTTACTTACAGGTACTTATCAAAAGGAAAATACATAATTAACCAAGAAGAAAATGATATACCAGAGTTGAGAAACCTTTACTGTTCAGCATAAAATACATGATGAACTACATGGACAGAATATATGTATTTCACTTGACAGGATATCATCAAAAGACTAAGGAAATATTGTGCATAGCCAAAGAGAAATACATGATAAATAATGGCATATGAAGACATAGAGTTAGCTGAAAGTGTACATATCTCTTATCCTAGTGCATCAAATCCATTATCCTTGTGTGTGCAACAGAAGACCGACAAACTACAAGTGTACTTTACATATCACAGAATGAGAACATCAGGCACTTGTCAATGTGGTGATGGACAGCGAGTCTGATCAACAGGGTCTGCACTCTCTGACTCTACAGGCAGGTGGCTGGTTGGGATGCCTATTGGTGGACGGACCTTTCTTATTGGGCTGAAACTGCGTGGAGATGAACCAGGGGAGTGAGCAGGGGACCGGACAGGACATAGGGGAGGACAGGGGAGGGGTTGTGGGAGAGGCTGTGCCAGGGGAGAGGGGCTTCGGGGATATCTGCGGGGGGCAGACCATACAGGACGCTCAGATCTGTTGGCGGAGGGAGGAAGAACCGGAGCATAGGTAGCAGGGATATTCATTTCTGAATGGATGGCGACATCACCAGAACTCTCTTCCAAACGCTCCAGAGTCTCCTGAAACAAATGAGGAGGCAGATGTAAAAAAACATCCTCAGCTGTGGTGCAATATGTGCTTCTCATTTGAGTGAAGCAATGATATCTAAAAAACAACAATCAAATGACAAAAAACACATGAACTGAGGCTCATTGGATGGCAATGTTGGTCTTTCAGTCAATCAACCACTTTGGTTCAGACCCAAATATCTCAACAATGAATTGACCAATGAGAGCAGCTTATATAGACTCTAAATGGAAATATAGATAATAAAAGAGTGACTTACATCTTCATTAAGGACATAAAGAGGCATGGGACTCCTTCGACCAAGTGTAGTTGGTTTTGGAACAACATCAACTGCAAAACAAATACATTTATGTTATTTGTTTAACACTGGGGAATGTTACTTTGTTGAAAAGTTACTATTATAAATTCATGAATCACAATCCTATAGAAATACACTGTAATTCTTTAATATAGTAAGAAACCATAAGAAACACAGTACTTTGTAGATTAACCTGCTGCCTTCTTCTTTATTACACATTAACAGTAAAAAAGATGTGCAATATTTTTTTTATAACCATGCTGTACTGAAAATATAGGTAAAATAAACTATATCATCTAATCATTCTTTCATGTTGTCTTTGTTTTGTAGGTTAATTACAACATGCAAAAACCAAATATAAATGTGTTCTGTGTATACTTTAAATGATTAACTGTAATTGTGCTCACCATCATGGCCAATATCACTCTGCTCCAAATAGATCGGAGCTCTTTGGGGGATGGGTTGATGTTTCTTTCTACAGCAGGAAAAAACACATTTAGAAAACACATGTCAAACCTGCTACTAAATGGTAGCTTTTACGAGCTACAGGTCACTGTGTTTATTAGTTGTTCGCCAAAGGTTCACAGTATAATGAGACTCCAGGTTCAAGGTTCTTTATGTGTCGTACGAACATAGCTACAGAGCAGTTATGTCGATGAAAATCTTAGGTCACAGGCTTCTCCAACAGAGCAACACAATCATACAGATAAACAGGCAAATATAGTAAATATTAAAAAGTAAATACAAAAAGAAAAATAGTTTAAAAAAAAGTGAAATTGTGAAATAAGAGTCTATATGCAAGCTATTGGAATGATATATTAGATAAATAGATACATAATTACTAAGTAGCAGATGAATGTTATGGACTTTGAGCTATTTAAGATTCTAGTCACATCCTCAAGTGCAATATCAAAGGCAATGAGAGAGAGAGGAAGAAAGAGAGGGGGAGAACGAGAGGAGGGAAAAGAGCAGGGAGAAGAAAGAGTAGCTCTCACTTGGATGGTTTCCAACAGGCACACACCGTCACCAGGGTGATTAGGAGGAATATGCCCCCGGTGGACAGGATGATGTATAGCGAGCTCCGTCCTAAACCAGAGTGATACATAGAGGTAGACAAGGACACAATGAAGAAAGAAAGAAAGAGAGAAT